CGCTCCTGCAGGAAATGACCCCTGGTTGCACCCCTTGAGACTCCAAATGGGGGAGGGCTCACGTGACGGAATACTGTTCTATAAAAAAGATTCTCTACAGTTAGAAATCTAGCATGGAAGGCTACGGTCCTTCTGCCTGACATGCTAGTTTCCCTAAACTCAAGGGCCATTTGGAATGCCAGTTAATGTGGAACTCACGAACCGGGGAAGAAATTAAGATCTACTTTTGCCTTTTTTGAAGGGCTGCAGTGGCTCAGAGGTTAAGACGCTGAGCTGCAGACCGGAGGGTCTGTAGTTCGGCAGTTCGAGACCCGAGTGCCGCGTGACAGAGTGAGCTCCCGTCTCTGGCCCCGGCTCCTGCCAACCTAGCCGTTTGAAAGCAAGACATTGCAAGTAGATTAATAGCTACCGCTTCGGTGGGAAGGTAATAGTGTTCGGTGCGCCTCAGCATTTAGTCATGCCGGCCACATGACCACGGAAAATGTCTTCGGACAGCGCCAGCTCTTCGGCTTGGAGATAAGCACCGCCCCCTAGAGTCAAATTCGATGGTCTTTCGAGCAAGGGAAACCTTTACCTTTTACCTTTGCCTTTTGGGAACACCTGCACGGAGGTTTCGGCAGGGTCTGGGAGGATGAGGCCGAGATTGGTTGCGGCACTGTGCTTGTGTGGGATACCATACATGCGGGACGGCACTAGGGGACTGTGAAAGGACACCCCGTTGAGGATCCCTCCTTCCCCAGCACTTGCCTGACACAAATCCCTTGCAGCCATGTTTCAATCGACTTGAAGTGGTACTCCATGCTTCCGTAGGTCGTCGAGACGAACTGGTAGGAATCAAAGACCTGGACTTTGCCCCCTTTCCACCGGGCTCCAAGGCTGCTTTCCTCTTCTCCCAGCCAGATCTCCACGTGGACGATGTCATGGGCTTGCCGCGTCCCTGCAATGAGGAAAGGATGCTGAGAAAAGTGCAGAGGAGGGCAACCGGGATGGTTCGGGGGGGTGGGAGCCCCTCCCCTAGGAGGAAAGGCTGAAGAGCCCGGGACGACTAAGGGGGAACATGATCGAGGTTTATAAAATCAGGCATGGGGTGGAAAGAGTTTTGTGGACAAAGAGCCATTTTTCTCCCTCTCCCAAAAGACTAGAACTCGAGGGCGTCCGGTGAAGCTGATGGGCAGTAGGTTCAGGTTGGACAAAAGGAAATACTACTTTATGCAGAGAGTGATTAAAGTGTGGGATTTGCTGCCAGAGGATCTAGTGATGGCCACAGGAATCAACAGCTTTAAGTGGGGATTAGATAGATAGACGGCAGATATGTCTATCAGTGGCTGCTAGCCGTGGTGACTGAAGGCAGGGGTCATTTCCTGCAGGAGTGCACAGGAGCGGAGCTCCGGCAGTAAAGAGCCCAGGGGGCGGGCACATGCAACAAGCCCCGCCCCCTGCTCCCAGCAGCCCTCAGTCAGAGCAAGAAGCAGCCAGGTAAGCTGCACAGCCCCCGATGACGCCCCCAGCCCAAAACAGTCCATTGGCACCTTTAAGACCAAGTTTTATTCAGGTACAAGCTCTCCCTCCTCTGTGAGGGCAGATCTGCACGCCCCCCCTCCCACAGCTAGCAATCCAAAACAGTCCGGTGGAGCCTGAGTAGTGGGTGTTGCCTTCTGACACACTTCCGATGATGTCAGGGGGTGTGGCACATGCAAATAAGTTATGCTAGTAAGTTATGCTAATGAACTCCTGCACCTCTTTTTCTACGAAATGTAACCCCTGACTGAAGGGAACCTCCACATTCAGAGGCACTAAGCCTCTGAATCTCAGAGCCAGGAAGCAACATCAGGGGAAGGCCTCGGCCTCCATGCCATGGTGTTGACCTTCCAGAGGAATTGGCTGGCCACTGCGTGAGACAGAATGCTCAACTAGATGGACCACAGGGAAGCTAGGAGAATACTGTATTTGTCTGGCAATAAACGATTCGATGTGTCCCTAATGGGATTGACCCCTAACTTATTACAGCCCCCACAACAGATTTATTTTATTTGCCCGTTTGAGGCGGGTCACAAAATAAAGCGAGATGAAAACCGTAAAAAACCCAAAAGCATTAAAAGCAACAATCCATTAAAAACCCAGTCAATAAAAACCCACAGACCAAAAGCACAAAAAGCATTAAAAAGATTAAACTATAGATGCACACGGATGGACGAAGGGGAAGAGGAAGGAGACTGTGTCTAAAGAGGCAGGCAGATGAGCAGACGGACAGTGGGGTGGGTGGGATTTGGCGAACATTTACGTTGTGTATCAAAGTAAGTTCCCGAAATGAAGATGAGGTCTCCGGGCTTCAGGTGTTCCTCGCCGGGGAGTGTAATGGGAAGGGTGTCATACTGGTATGCCTGGTTTCCCGGACCGATATAGAAGCCAAACTCTTCTGTTAAGTCCCGTAACACCCGCCGGATGAGGCCACAACAATCCAGGAAGAGCAGGGATTCAGACTCCGGAGCTGCAGAATGAAGCAAAGGGAGCGTCAGCGAGAGATTGGGAGGGGAACGGCCAACACGACAACCTCGGCAAAAGTGTCCATGGCAAGAAGGAGCCCCGGGAACAAAGAAGGGTGTCGTAAGGGCCAGGGGGAGCTGCCCAGATGGATCAGGACCAGGGTCCAACTAGTCCAGCCTTGGTTGTCTCTCCATCAAGGGCTGGTCTTTAGAATCCTCTGGGATTTCACAGTCGGCATGAAGGCTGATGAAAGGTGGGTACTCCGGGGTATACTGCATCTGCACGTGGAAGTTCTGTTCAGCAGTCCGGGCTAAGAAGGCAAGACCGTTGGAACTGTCCATCCGGGTCAGACCAAAGGTCCATCTACTCCTGCCAGATCCCTCTCCGGTAGGACCTAATGGCTGTCTCCAAGCACCTCACGTTCAGAGGTACACTGCCTCTGAGCATGGAGGTTCCATTTAGCTACCATGCCTATTGGCCGTCAATGAGACTTTTCTTCCATGGGTTTCTCTAAACCTTTCCTTTTAAAAAATATAGAGGATGGTGTGGAGTTGTTTTCTGTTGCCCCAGAAGGTCGGACCAGAACCAATGGGTTGAAATTAGATCAGAAGAGTTTTTGGCTAAACATTAGGAAGAACCTCCTGAGAATTAGACCAGTTCCTCAGTGGAACAGGCTTCCTCGGGAGGTGGTGGGCTCTCCTACTTTGGAGGTTTTCCAACAGAGGCTCGATGGCCATCTGACAGCAATGCAGATTCTGTGAATTTAGGCAGCTCATGAGAGGGAGGGCAGGAAGGGTTGTATCAGGGCTTAGTTCTCGTGGCCCTTTCTTTCATGCCCAGGGAAATGCCGATCACCACTTTAGGGTCTGGAAGCAATTTTTCTCCAGGCCAGTTTGGCTGGAGATCCTGGAGGTTTTTTGGTCATATTCTGGGCATGGAGTAGGGATCACTGGGGGTGTGGGGGGGAGGAATTTACGCATTTCCTGCATCGTGGAGGGGGTTGGATGAAATAACCCTGGAGGTCCCTTCCAACGCTACGATTCTATGCATACATGGTTTCCCCCTCCTCCATTTAAGCTTCACAACAACCTTGCAAGGTAGGGATTTGAATCAGCCGAAGGAGCTCCTTACTGCCAGGCTGGTGGTATTTCTTGGCATAGGGCACGCCGATGTAACTCTTGGCTTGCTCGAGAAACTTCATCCGGAGCTGCCACTGGGCTTCCGGCTCCTGCAGCCGTCTGGGCACGGTCGCTTTTCTTCCGGCGAGTCTCTGCAGTTCCTCCTATGGCCAGACCCAAAGAAGCAGAAAAGAAAATGGAGCTGTGTCATAGAGGCGTTCCGAAAAGGCTGATCTCCAGTGTTCCCTCTAAGCTGAGTTAGTGTGAGCTAGCTCACAGTTTTCTAGCCTCCGGCTCACACGTTCTTGTCTTAGCTCAGGGAGAGGGGCTCCAGAGCAAACTGATTTATGCAGTCGCCAAATCGCTCGCTCGCAGCTTTAACGCCAGTAGCTCACAAGGTAGAATTTTTGCTCACAGGACTCCACCGCTTAGAGGGAGCATCGGTCCTAGCCCCAAAGCGAAGGCAACCCAACTCTGCTAGGCGAGTGAAAGTTGCGTGTTGTGAGCCAATGTTTATATCCATTTAATATTTTTATCTTCATGGCCACCTTGATGTGATCGTACAGTCGACTGCATTGAGACTCTTTGGGGAGGATGCCTTTCCCACACCGCACAAAAAGCATCGGGACGCAACGGAACCTATCCCAGCTGTTTTTTGCAGTGGTTTTGCTATTGCTCAGGGTGGTGCCCCAGTCACATGGGGAGAAGCTGAATGAGACAGGAAACTGCATAGATACAGCCAGGGCTATTTTTGGGCAGGAACGCACAGGAACGGAGTTCCGGCTGGCTTCAGAGCTGGCCACGCCCACTACAGCCAAAACCTCTGCGCATGCGTGGCTACAGAGGGAAGGCCTGGAGAGCGACACCCCCCCCAGCAACTCCGAGGCGGGTGGGCCAAGGGGGGCCCTGCCTCCCCGTGCCTTCCCTGGCCTATCCATGCGGTGCCCGGGCAAGCCAAGGGAACGCATGGGGGTATGGCCTATTATGCTAATGAGCTATGCTGTCAGGGGTGTGGCCTAATGTGCTAATGAGTTTCTGCTGCTGGGTGTGGCCTATTATGCTAATGAGTTCCTGCTGGGCTTTTTCTACAAAAAGAGCTCTGGATACAGCCCTCTGGGAGCCTTATATAAAAAAAATGTAACGACAGAGATTCTGAATGCGCCGGTTCCACGTTGGAAACAAGACCGGATAATTTGGAACTCCAAAACAGATAACCAGTGTGGTGTAGTGGCTAAGAGTGTTGGAGAAGGATCTGGGAGATCAGGTTCGAATTCCCACTCGTGCCGTGGAAGCTCGCTGGGCCAGTCACATGCTCTCAGCCTAACCTACCTCACAGGGTTGTTGTGAGGATAAGATGGCGGAGAGGAGAAGGATGTCAGGTGTCCTTTTTCCCTGGGAAGGGCTGTGGCTCAGTGGCAGAGCATCTGCTTCGCGTGCAGAAGGTCCCAGGTTCGAACCCTAGCATCTCCAGTTAAAAGGATCAGGCAGTAGGTGATGAGAAAGACCTCTGCCTGAGACCCCGGAGAGCCGCTGCCAGTCTGAGTAGTCAATACTGACTGATGGACAAAGGGTCAGGAGGAGGAGGAAGAGGAGATTGGATTTATACCCCGCCCTTCACTCAGAGTCTCAGAGCAGCTTACAAACTCCTTTCCCTTCCCCTCCCCACAACAGACACCCTGTGAGGTAGGTGGGGCTGAGAGACCTCTTTTGAGGACTGCCCTTGAGAGAACTTGTGACTGACCCAAGGTCACCCAGCTGGCTGCATGTGGAGAAGTGGTGAATCAAACCCGGTTCTCCAGATTAGAGTCCGGCACTCTTAACCACTACACCAAACTGGCTTCGTGTGTGTACAACGGAAAATAGAATGAAGGTTCGGAAGCCTCTCTAGATAGATGAATCCTTCTGCACATAGTCTGTTCTCCAGCAAGGGGAGGCAGTGGAATTGAGGGAAGGGACCCCTGCCATCTCTGCCCCATGGCACCCCCAGGCTGGAGCAGCGAGTGTTCCTTGTTCCCCTGGGTGGCTTTAGACATCGTCTAGCAAGCTGCAAATGCCCGATAGGTCTTGTAAAAATCCATCTCCTGAGGATTCAGGAAACTCTGCTGGACACGTGTGGGTGGCCGTGGGGTGTTCACCAGTGTTCCCTCTAAGCTGAGTTAGTGTGAGCTAGCTCACAGTTTTTTAGCCTCTGGCTCACACATTTTTGTCTTAGCTCAGGAAGGATGGCTCCAGAGTGAACTATTTTATGCAGGTGCCAAATGGCTCGCTCACAACTTTAATGCCAGCAGCTCACAAAGTAGAATTTTTGCTCATGAGACTTCACAGCTTAGAGGGAACATTGCCCTTCACTACCTGAGGGAGTCTCAGAGCGGCTTACAAACTCCTTTCCCTTCCCCTCCCCACAACAGACACCCTGGGAGGTAGGCAGGGCCGAGAGAGCTCTGAGAGAACTGCTCTTTCAAGAACAGCTCTGACAGAACTGTGGCTTGCCCAAGGTCACCAAGCCAGGTGCAAGTGGAGGAGTGGGGAATCAAACCCAGTTCTCCCAGATTAGAGTCCGCCCACCTAACCACTACACCAAACTGGCTAAACCTGACTCCATTCAGTGGGATTTATAGTTCAAAAGTCGTTTTTATGTATGGGAACGGATCTGATACTAAATTATTATGTTATTATGTTATAACTGTTGATGTATGTTGAAAACTTTGTTGGTGATTAACTGGCTGGTTTGTAATTTTGGATTCTCGGGACTTTTGTACACTGTTTTGCAGTTATTGTACATGTTATAAGTTATACTTGATCTTAATAAACATTTTAAAAACCAAGAAAAAAAAGATACCCGGTGGAACCAGGAGGCAACCGCCGAGGAAGGCAGCAGCTTCAAGCAGCACACCTGGCCAAGACACCACTGCTCCTGCGCCCGTCCCCCCCTGTGCAAGATTTCCAGGAGCTGTTCAGTTCTTCCCTGTGTGAAGTTAGCAAAATGGGAGCCGTTCCAACAGGGTGTTGAAGCAGATGCCAGTGGACACCACCAGGTGGCACTGCAGAGTCATCCCTTTCCTTTACACCGGCCCTGGCACCGCTTTTCTTTCAAAAGAGAAATCTCTTCCCTTCTAAGATGTTTTATTGGTGTCTTGCTGCGGTTCGTAGTTCTCCGTGGCCCCTTCTCATTTCTCTCTTAGCCTTTCTGTGGGCAGCACGTTTCCAGGTAGCTGTGATTCCTTAGAAGCGTAGAGGCGAGCGCTGAATAATGCCGGTGGAATCACTGGGCGAGTCCTAGCGTTAGATGATTCGTTTTCTAATAAGTGTGAATGCCAAGTTTCAGTCCGGGGGCCAAATAATCCAGCACTTCCAGGCAATATGGCTAATTATCAGTCTTTGCTTTGGATTTTGGCTGATGGGCGGAAATCAGCCGGTGAAACTTGACAGCGCATGGCAATAAAGGTGACCATGTGCTAGCATAATTAGTTAATAATTATTGTATGGTATTGCGTGTACAATAGCCAGGAGATCCTAAGATTGTCTGGCAGCTGCAAATTCTAGCTCTTAGCATTATGCTAGTGGCGAGCTAGACTTGTTTTGAGGGACTGAGAGAGCTCTGGACGAACTGCAACTGACCCAAGGTCACCCAGCTGGCTTCATGTGGAGGAGCGAGGAATTGAACTCTGTTCTCCAGATTAGAGTCCATTGCTCTTGACCAGGGGTCATTTCGTAGAAAAAGAGCTAGGGAACTCATTAGCATAACTCATTAGCATATGCCACACACCCCGCCCCCAACGGAAGTGTGTCATAAGGCCACACACCCCGCCCCCAACGGTCCCGGCTGACGCCGCCGGCCTTGCAGCTCCACTGCCAAGCCCCATGAGGGGCCCGGCGGTGGACCTGCAAGGCCGGCGGGAGTGCAAGGAAGCCCTGCAAAGGCCCTCCCTGGCCCCAGGCAGGCAGGGGTGGGGAGAGGCAGGGAGAAAGCAACTTACCCTCCCTCTTCTCCTGCCTCCTCCTGGCTGAATGAGGGCCGGAAGCGGGGCAGCCGGAAGCAGGGGGCGGGGCTTCGTCATGTGCCCCACCCCCCCGTACCTCACCCGGGGGAACTGTGATCCCCCCCGAAATGACCTCTGCTCTTGACTAATACACCAAACCGGATCTCCATGTGCTAGCATCTGTACTTCACACTGCTCTTAATAGCATAGGAGCAGGGTACGGTTGATCAGCCGGCGACATTATTTGGCCATACCCTGAGATCTGTGCAGTGGGGAGAGAAGCATAAACTTTTGGAATCTCTCCTTATATGTAATTGAATAGTGGGTGCCAAAGTTCTAATTCTAAAATGCACTCCCTTAGTGTATGGCTGATGGCAATGCTCCTCAGCATATATCGCCACCAATCAGAAGGCAAAGCCCGGTCCCGCCCACACCACAACTGCTGCGACAACCTGGTCTTTTGCATATGGAAGCTGATTGGACTTCACTCCATTCCACACCTCAAACTCCCCCCCCCCCCGCAAGGCAGTTGGAATGTCAGTTGCATATGGAACCTGCTGTATTCTGGTGGTGTGCAGGTCCCAGGTTCATGTTTTAAAAGCAGACTGACACTGTTTGCCCAAAGCCAGAGCACTCTCCCAAAGCCTCTTTCTAGCTCCCGTTGTATTTATTTCCACAACGGGCCTTATTTCTAGTGTGGGATATAATTGAGAAAGTCGGCTTGGTGTTAGTGGTTAGAGAGTCAAACTTAGATCTGGAAGACCCTGGTTCGGATGAACGTAGATGAAGCTGCCTTCTACTGAATCAGAGCCTCGGTCCATCCAGGCCAGCATTGCCCACTCAGACTGGCAGCCGCTCTCCAGGGTCTCAGGTGGAGGTCTTTAAGGTCACCTACTGCCTGGTCCTTGTAACTGGAGATGGTGGGGGTTGAACCTGGGACCTCCTGCATGCCGAGCAGCTGCTCTACCACTGAGCCACGCCCCCTCCCAGATCCTTACTTTGTCAAGGAAACTCGGTGGGTGGCCTTGGGGAAGTCACACGCTCTCAGGCCTAACCTACCTCGCAGGGTTGTTGTGGTGATAAAACGGAGGATGGGAGAACTATGTGAACCGCATTGGGTCATGCCGGTTGACAACTTACCAAGCCGGTGCTGTGAACTTTGGGACTCTCCCCCCCCCCGCTCAGCTGCCTGCTCC